AAGACAAAAGGCGCACAAAAAAAAAAAAAAAAAAAAAAAAAAAAAAAAACTCTCCAAAAAAAGAAAAAAACTTTTAAAATTAATTTGTGACATAGCAATAATGAATGTTCTTCTTTCTTTATTTATTTTTTTGGAGAGGTTTTCGCTATAGGGCGCGTTCGCTCGCCAGACAGACAGAGAGAGACATAGAGACAGAAAGCGAGAAATCCCCCCCCAGGGGGGATGGTCATGCCGCAATCCCTTCTCCATTCTCCTCTCAGGATCTTGGGCATGCACGCACACGCGCCCGGCATGAGTTTTAAGTCACCGGGTCCAGGAGGTGAACCGCAGTCGACTACTACGTGGGAGTCCAGCGACATAGCCATTACGCTAACTGCTGGTTCCCTGTTCTTCTTTATTAATAGAGCTAAACAACATCAAATCAAGAGTCCATAATTTCAAAGTTGAGATAAGAATATATAATATTGAGATGTCTGCAACCAGTCTAAAATGAAAGAACACTTTGCTTGCTGTTGAGAACAAACACAAGCAGTGCTGGTACTACCATGGTTTGTGGTCTCTATTAATACCTGAGGGAAGTGAAAACTAAGCAGCAATTGTTTTTCTGTGCCATTTTGTGGATCCTAGTTTAAAATCTTCACTTTAGGGACCAGCAAATGGCATAGTGGTTAAGGTGCTGGACTCCCACATGGTCAACTGCAGGACCCAGCAACTTGAAACTCACACTGGTGCATATGCGTGCATGCCCCATATCCCAAAAGATGAATGGAGAAGAAGGGATTGTGGCATAGCCATCCTCCCTGGGGGGTGATTTCTTGCTTTCTGTCTATCTCTGTCTCTCTGGCAAGCACATGCACCCTATGGCAAAAATCTAAAAAAAAAAAAAAGAAGAAGAAGAAGAAAAATCCTTCCTTTAACCTCTCTTAGCCCTAGCCTTCTCTTTCATAAAATGAACCTTCTTATCCCTACCCCACAGCACTAGTGTGAGGATGATATGAGATGACAAATACAGAAACATTTTGTGTTGGTGAGTGAGTTGCACACAATTAGCTTATTTTTTATTTTTGGTTATGAAGACCTAATGGTACCAAAACATCCAATGTGACTTGAGAGAAGCAAGCCTAGGTCTCTGCAGGGCATTTGCTCCAGCATGTACATCAGCCTCAGCAGCCTGTCCCTGTTTTCCCCACAGCACACGGTAAAGTCCTGGTTCCTGCCCACCCTCAACTGAGTTTATTCCTGATCCTCCCTCAACTAAGCCACAATGCCTGGTGGGTACAAAGGAGAATGTGGGGATGATGTGGACCCTATGCCCTTTCTGGCACCTCCTGAGAAGGAGAGGATTGAAGCCATGAACAAGCCCTATGACATAAAGAGGTCCTGCTGGGTCAAAGATGAGAAGGAGGGCTTCATTGCTGGAGAGATCCAGTCTGAACAGGGAGACCAAGTCACTGTGAAGACAATCACCAACCAGGTGAGTAGGGAATGATCTTCAGGATAAAACCAGGCTTTGGGATGGCAGGCACCTAGGCTACTACTCTACATGAGCTCAAGAAGTAAGGTAGCAGAAAGACCAGATGCTTCTATGCCCCATGTTCTGGGTTCAAATCCAGACTGAATTTCACTCAAGCTGTGTGACCCTGGGCAAGATATTTCTCCCCTCTCTGAGCTTTGACTCCATCACATTATAGATTTTAATGAGAGAGGACACACATAAAAGTACTTTGTACACACTATAGCAGCAAATGTGTGAAAGTGATTATCATGAAATTATTTACCTTTAAAATCCCAAACAGCTCTCGTCTGGCATCTATTTTCCAAGAGTGAAAGCAAATATCCCACCATGGCTCACAAAAGCCCAGAATATCCAATATACTCTGGCCTACTGAGTGAACTCTTCAGCTGGTGGCTCCAGAGCCTCTGCCTGCATAGTGATGGTCCTTACTCCCAAGGACCCAACAGTAAACATCCAGGAACTTTACAGCTAGTTGTCAAAACTTTGATAGCTTGCTATCAGCCATGGTTGAAGTATTTACACCATTGAAATGGGCAAATATGAATTGAGGTCCCCCGCAAAAAAAAATCTGGTTTACCAACATACCACTCTTTCTTCTGGCCCACAGACTATGTTTGACTATGAATTATGAGTTGGGAGAGAGTGAATAGAAAGTTTGATTTATCATATCCCCCAACCTTACTCTATGGCAGACTTCTGATGAGGTCCTTGACAGTTGCATTATTTCAACAACCTAGGTAGTAAGATTTATTGACCCTACTTTGTAAAGAAGGAAAAATGAGGATAAAGGACACTTTAGAAAATATCCCCCTGGTCATAAAGATAGCATATGATTAACTCGTATTTAAACCCATGGTTTCTAAGTCAAATGGCCATGCCCCTCTACATATCATACCATTTCTCCACAGTGGGCTGCCAAGGGTATGTGTGTAAGATCAGTCCTTGGTTAATTTCTTTTCACCAATAAAAGAAGACAAAGACTTTCTACAGTCAAACTTGCAACGGCTGCACATTTTTCCATGCCCGCCTTTGAGGGGAGTGGTAGTGGAGAGATGAGGCTATAGATGGGTTAAAGAGGATTTGAAGATGAAAGTCAAGCTTGATTCTCAGAAGAAACATATTTTGTAGAGGCAGAGCATTGCAGTATTGTGAGAAATGATGAGAGATGGGTGTGGAGCCCCAGAAGCCCCAGTTTGGATATAAATTTAAGGACAACACTTAGAAGCTCTGTAGTGGACAGAACTTGCCAGTTGGGTTTGGGACAGAAAAGACTGAGCCTGTGGCGGTGACTCACCTGGCTTCTGAGATAAAAGCAGAGTCCTGCATTCTGCTGGAGCTGAAAGAGAAGGGTTTGCATGTAGGCGAGGCACAGGGATCTAGAAACTACTGGAAACAGACAGAATAAAACCCAACTGGATTTACTAGGGGTGTGGTAACCATTACTGCATGAATTTTCTAGAACTGCCAAGATTTTAAATTATCTGCAAATTATATTCATAAATTATGTAAAGTCCCAGATCCCAGTATGTATTCAGGCTTCACATCTAAGGCTACAGGCAGGCAAGAGATATTTGTTTTCTGGGTCACATGTCTTGAGCTTTGGTCCAGATGCTGGAACTTAAGAACTGACACTAATTTTCACTTAAAGATAAAGAAATTGGGGTGCAGTTTGGAGAAGGGATTCTGCCAGCCTGACACAGAAATGACACAGTTACTGTTGAATACTCATTGCTGTTTTCTTTTTTTGGTCTTTGCTTGATTTTAATTTCATCCTTCAAGGTGGTTTGACGGGAGCAGGGGAATGTTTTTTATTTTCAATGGAAAAGTTCATTGCTATTTTGAAACCATCACTAACTCTCAAGGCAGAGAGCCAAGAGTCACATCTCTTCAAAGTGTCCCTGAGATCAAAGAACAAGCTCTGATCAACTACCGGAATAGACTTGGCTGGAAGAGAAGCACAGGCCAGAAGTGCTCTGTAATATAGGGAGGGAACTTCATAGTTTACAAGATATTTTTACATAATTCCACCTAGGTCGATATAATTCTCCCAGAAACCAGCTAAGGAGGCTATTGTCATCTCTATATCAAACAATGGCAATTAAGGCTGATTTGGCTTGAAGAGTCCCTCTCCATTTTAGGTCACACAATGGGATGTAGTTGGACCCTGAGTTGGGTCACCAAATGTTTCACTCCAGTTCCTCTCAAAATGCTAAAAGGTGTGTAGCATCCTGTGCCAGATGCTCCTGTCCTTGTGACAAAACTTTTTGTAATTTCTAATGCTTATCCTGCTGTGTCTTGACCCCCAGACATTAACTATGAAGAAAGATGACATCCAGCAGATGAACCCACCCAAATTCTACCAGGCCAGTGACATGGCAGACATGACATTCCTGAATGAGGCCAGCGTCCTGGACAATCTGCGCCAACGCTATACCAACATGAGGATCTATGTGAGTGCCAAGGTTGGGGGTGAGAGTGGAGAGGAATGGGTGATTACAGATATACCCTTCTAAGGTGGCATGGCAATTACTCTACCCTCCCCAGCTCACAATATACACTATGATTCAGATGAAGGCACAAGGACCATATCTTTCACATGCTAGAACTTCTACCCCAAGTCTCAGCATCTCCATGATGATGCCATCTCCATGGGCAGCTGAAATGTCTTTTGATGAGGCTGCTGCCCAGAAATTCTCCTCCTTATGACCCCCCTCCCCCAACCCTCCTATCAAAACATCTTTCCCCTAATGATTTCACATGACTTTACTAGAAGTTGCTCTGTCCATCCATTCATCCATCCATCTATCTATCCTTTCATCACCCATCCATCCATCCATCTGTCCATCCATCCATTATCCACCTGTCCATTCACTCATTCAACAAACATTGAAGAAATGTGATTTAAATGCAGCCTGAGACTTAGAAAAGGTTATAGGTTGCATCCTTGAAGTCCAGTTTCTCTTTGTCAGAGCAGATTATAGTCTCCTGCATGTCTTGGAAATTCTTAGACAAAAGAATGATTTCCTTTTTTTTTTTTTTTTAAAGAATTTTACATTTTATTTATTATTATTATTGTTCTTCATTTTGACCTGGGAGACACATACACACAGAGAGAAAGAGAGAGAGAGAGAAAGAGAGAGAGAAAGCACATCACCAGGTCTGGGGACCTGAACCACGGTCAACCATGTGGAAGTCCACCTTAACCACCATGCCACCTGCCAGCCCCAAAGAATGATTTTTTGATGGTACTGGTAGCTAAACCCTACAATGGATTGTGTAAGGTAGTTTTGGTGTTTGCCTCCCAAGATGTCTTTAATAAAAAGGAAAGATGCTCATTTAGTAGTTATAGATGAGATGAGACCTGATTTCAAGATCAGGCAATTTCTCCTCCCTGGGCTTATGGTTATAACCAAAATGGTTGCTGTATCCTGCTCCACTTGTCCTACTTTAATATTACTGTAATTCTGAAAACAGGCCCCCAGCAGCACCATAACCCCAGGCAATGTTAGAAGATCTCTAGAAAGCTCTTGTGGATATCTTTCAGTTATGGAGGCTATGGAGGTTAGTGGGGGCATCCTTGGTCCTCAGGGCTAGGAAGACTCATCCTTGGAGCCTAGTTTAAGAATGTTGATGGGCTGGGAACCAGCAGTTAGCGTAATGGCTATGTCGCTGGACTCCCACGTAGTTGACCATGGTTCGCGTCCCGGACCCAGTGGCTTAGAACTCACGTCGGGCGCGTGTGCGTGTGTGCCCAAGATCCTGAGAGGAGAATGGAGGAGAAGGGATTGCAACGTGACCATCCCCCCTGGGGGGGTGATTTCTAGCTTTCTGTCTCTATGTCTCTCTCTATCTGTCTGGTGAGCGCACGCGCCCTATAGCAAAAACCTCTCAAAAAAAAAAATAAAAAAAAGAATG